CTGGCTCGAGCCTGCACGCGGGCCCCTTATATAGCGGCGGCCGGCCGAAGATCGGCGAAAATTTCCGAACTTCACCGATTCCATTAATTCTTATTTTTCCGCTATAATAACCAATAATTTAATAATTTTTTTAATGTTATGAAAAATTGACGTTGTAAACAATTTGTTAATAATAAACTAATTTGTTATTAACAATTATTGTGATTATTTATAAACTTTTTACAAATTGTGGATACATTTTGACATAATTACGCTATAAATTCAAGTAATAGCCAATAATTTATTAATTTTTTCACTTTTATTATAAATATACGTTGTGAACATTTTGTTATTAACAATATTAATTTGTTATTAACAATAGATTTAATAATTTATAAACTTTTTCCAAATTTTGTGTACATTTTAACATAAGTACGTTCGAATAAATTCAAGTAATAATCCATAATTTATTAATTTTTTTTACTTTTATTATAAATTTACGTTGTGAACAATTTGTAGTTAACAATATTAATTTGTTATGCATAATGAATTTAATAATTCATACATGTTTTATAAACTAAAACTGCTTTCTTACTTTCATAGTATACACCTCTCACCTAACTTTTAAGACAACAATAAATCTGCAAACGTTCTTACTTTTTACGTAGTACTTCATTTTATACAAAAATCGTGCCTTTTTAGTAAAATTCAGATTGGGTGACAGAGCAATCTCAATTACAGGTTCGTGTCTAGAAAATTAATCACTGGAAAAATCATCTATCGAATATCACAGATTCTAGAAAAAATAAAAATTTATTCGACAATGCAATCAATCATCCTAAACCAACGTCACTCAAACCTATTTAATTTTATTTTAACTTTATTAACTCTAAACTTGGAAAATTACCATTCACCAAATCAATCAAATCTATATTATATTTCCCTTCTCCAAAGAAAACCAACAATTACCTACTACCCACCATGATTACTCAACTCTCTGGACTCTAGACCAAGTCTAAAAACCCAAAACCTCGAATCCCGAAGTCTCTAAGCACCTTAGAAATTAACAGAATTAATACCTCATTAAAGACCCCAGGAAGAGGATAATTATCGATCCATTTGTGTCCGAAATCTCGAAGCGTGTAAGCGAAATCGACACTTCAGTCACTGACCCCGTACCTAGCTCAGCTAAACCTATTTAATCTTCTTTTACCAGAGTGACATGAATTGCCCGTGTACCCAGCGTGAAATTGCCTATCTCTGTTAGCTGTAACCGAAAATATAATTCACACGTGGTCTCTAAATGTTGGAAACACAGTTGTTCGACCCAAACGGGAACCGGCTGTTGCGATGGCTGTACTGGGACGACGCGGCGTCGACCTTGATGGGCGTCCCGACGAAGAAGGACGTTGGCACCCATCGTCTGAGCGTGAAGGTGATGGGCAAGCACGACGACACCGCGAAGGACCTGTTCGTGGTGCAAGTGGTCCCCGAGAAGCACGAGGAACTGAAGCACAGGGATGGAAAGGTGAGTCCCCTATGTCTGGCCAGAAGTTGCCGAGGATCGTTGCCAGGCTTATCGTTAACGACCGAGCCACTCCATTGGCAACGGTTCAACTAGCTCCTGAACGAACAACAGGTACCACTGGCCTGCCACTGCGAGAATTAATCGTGGGAATTCGCAACCTGTTGGCGAACTTCGTACTTTTCGCTTTCACGGCGCGAATTATTTTTAGCACTTCGGACAATCGTCCTTTTTATTCCACGGATCTCTCCGGTGGTCGATAATCGTGCTAATGAAGAGAAAGGAAAAACAGGTGTGGCATAAAATACGAAGCACCGAAAGTTTATTCGATTAACAACTCTGTGGACACCGAAGCGGTTGAAATCGCTGGCTTCGGATATTTTATTTTTCAAATTACCGAAAATATCGTGGTGATTACCTTTCGACGAAGGTGACGTCATCTTTCGTCGAGATGAGATCGTTATTGTATAATATATGGAAGCTTACCTATGACTTTAACTAAAAAATCAAATTCTGTGAACGCAAAATCGACCTAATTTAAAATTACCTAAAATATCGTGGCATCGTCTTTTATCTATCGGTTCGAAAACGAATTTTTTGGATGGAAGATCAACTTAATTTGAAATTACCAAAAATATCGTGGTATCATCTGTCATCGAGGTATAATCGTAATTATACATAGAGCGTTAATGATCCTTCGACTATAGATTAAAAAGCGAGTTTTTTGAACGAAAAATCGACCTAATTTAAAATTACCAAAAATATCGTGGTATCGTCTTTCATGGAGACAGAATTGTAATTATACATAGAGCATTAAAAGTCTTCGACTATAGACTAAAAAGCGAATTTTTAAACGAAAAATTGACCTAATTTCAAATTATCAAAAATATCGTGGTATCGTCTTTTGTCTGTCAGTTCTAAAGTCAATTTTTAGACGAAATATCGACGTCATTTAAAATTACCAAAAATATCGTGGTATCGCCTTTTACCTGCTACTTCTAAAGCCAATTTTTAGACGAAATATCGACCTAATTTGAAATTACTAAAAATATCCTTGTATCGTCTTTTATCGAGACATAATCGTAATTATACATAGCGCGTTGAAGATCCTTCGACTATAGATTAAAAAGCGAATTTTTTGGACGAAAAATCGACCTAATTTAAAATTACCAAAAATATCCTAGTGTCGTCTTTCATCGAGACGGAATCGTAATTATATACATAGCGCGTTGAACGTTTTCGATTATAGATTCAAAAGCGAATTTTTTGGTCCAGAGATCGTCTTAATATTCGATTCCGATTATTGCATTAACGGAAATGGGGTAAAGAGTATCGTCAAATCGCTAGAGATATTTCTCCGATGCTCGAGTTCGCGGCATTGGTAATAACACGGAGGAAAGTAGGTTAGAAGTATCTGGAGATAAAGCTCGCTATCAGCGTTATATTGAACGCGAAAAATTCCAGGAAGAGTGACGAATATGACAGTCGATTAAGCTATCAATGAATGACTAGTCTGCTAAAATCGTCTTCCATTGACTGGCTGAAAAGCTCGCGACTCTTTGGAACGGAGCTGTTATCCGATCGATGACCGATCTAGGGTATCCAAGATGGCCGTACTGAGCCCGTTCGTTGCTAAATTCGGCTGTTAATGAAGCGACAAATCGATTAGCAGGTTAATCGGTTTCGTCGATCGAGCAACAAGCATATCAGGGTTTGACTTTTGCGCGACGCGTTGATCGTTTTAATCGGATCCGGCCGATTTTCGGTGGCTCGGTAATTAATTGGCCCGAATGCCGTGCTCGTTAAATCGTTCGACGAAATTATCCCGTTTATCTTGCGCCGCGAGCCGCGGTCGCCTAGCTGATCGGTCACGTCGAACCCCGGCCCGGAACCGGCGCCATTTTTCAGCCGTTTAGCGCCGATTAATTAAACGAGTAAACTCGATTTCACCCCCCGACGCACGCGTACGTGCACGATAATCCGGCCCACGTCGCTTCGAAACCGGGAATTTTATTCGCCATCGTTTGTTTGCTATCCGAGTCGTTCGATTTTTCCACGCGACTTTCCAATTTTTCCGAGAGACTTCGAGGAACGATCGGAAATCGATAATCCTCGCGCCGAGTCGCCGATATTTCCGCCATTTTAATTTCGGAGTACACCTGCGACGCTTTGTACACGGTGCACGCCGGTCGCGTGAAAAAGAAACGGTATGAAGCGTAAAATAATTGATTCCAGGAGAATTTCTGTCGAACTGGAGCAATTCGAAACGCAGCACTGCATTCGATAATAATCTTTTTCGATATTCTTCGATTTTCTGGAAAATAAGATAGGAATTGGTCAGCTGGGAATAGACTATAGCTAAAAGAAATCGAAATTTGTAAGTGAACGAAATGTATTAAAACAAAATTGGAAAAGAATCGAGTTAAGAAAACTCCAATTAGAAAAAAAGCTCGAATTAAATCTCTTAAATCTACTATTAAATTTCTACTATTTTAATTTTGGAGTATCCTTTAACAGCGTTATACATAATTGAATGAATAAATCGATAGCAAATTATTAGCAGCAGTAAATTGATACTAAATCAATAAATAACGTACATCCGGTCCCTTTCCAAACCATGCAATTGCAGGATATTTAGCATTCGAGCATTAATTGCCGAATCTCGTCAAAAACGTGAATTTCACTAAATCACTGTAACATTACACGTTATAATATTTGAAAATGTAAAAGTGACCATTCCCTAATACTCTCAAATTTACCCCCATTTAAGCTCCTATTAATCTCATTATACCTGGTAACTCTGATACAAATGTATGAATTGTACGAAGAGTATTCCAATACAAACTAATCCCTACCTTCGACCATGACAATCATTAACCCTTATCGGCTAGTTGACACCTCTAACAGGTGACACCATGCATTCGTCATGCTATACTTGCCACGCTAGTCGTGCTAATGGCCATTTCAATTTTCCTAAAATTCTCAAATTTACCCCACTTAAACTCCTATTAATCTCATTATACCAGGGAACTCTGATACAAACGTATAAAGTCTGTGAAAAGTATTCCAATAGACACTAATCCCTTCCCTCCGACTATCATAATCGTTAAGCCTAATCGGTTAGTTGACACCTCTGTCGTGACACCGTGCATTCCTCATGCTATACTTGCTATACTAGGCGTGCACCACGTGAAAGACGATAAGAGCGAATAAAACCGCGATGTATCTATCGATAAGGGTGAAAATTTCCCCTATAAGGGTGAAGAATCGAAGCGAGAGATGAAACGAAAGTTAGGATCATGGGACGAAAGATTTCCGCGTGGTCCGCGATTGCATCGGCCTGCCGCGCTTAAATCTCGCGGAGAAATTAGTCTGGTAGACGCCGCTGATTGATGCCAATTGATAGTCCTCGGTATCGTGCGTCACCGCGGTATCGTCCAGACCGTCCTCATGGCGGCCTTAATTCCACCCTGTTTCGCACACTGACACCGTTCGCGCCGCGTCAGGCCAACTGAAATAGGACGCTTCTGATTTTAGACCCACTGCAACGAAGGGGAGGAACAGACGCTTCTGACGATTCTGCTGGATGCCAGGTTCGACAACCTCTCGCCGACCATGCGAGTCAACACCATCGAGAACCTCGCCGGATTCCTGGGACTTCACGTGGTACGGTATCGTTATACCCTAAGCTTTGCTCGACTGAAATTTGCGGAGTTTCAGTTATTTTCTGTCGAACCAACCGCTTTTGGTTTTCGGAAATCGCTAAGTTTAACGCGTTCTCGTGGCTCTGCTGACTTTTCGGATATGCTAATTGGACGGAGGGTATGACTGTATTCGGAGAATCCAATTGTGCACGATATCCAAGACATTTCGGAGGTAATAGGGTCGAGTCACGTATTTCAATTGCAGGTTTAATTGTAGATACTCTTAACTCGTGAGAGAAGGGTGAGATATACATAGGTGTAAAGGAGAATAGTGACATGGTAGTATGAAAACACCATGTGGACTCGTGGTACTGTTCTAACAGGGTATTTAGTGTAGTGTAATTGATTCAGGTAATCCTCGTAATAGTATGGGTACGTTTATGGGTACTGTACCTATTGATTTTTATCAATTTGTTGACCCTAGTCTACGTCTACGTCAAACTACGATCAAAACTAACATTCCCTATGTTTAACCCTTTGAACTCGAGAGACTCTCAGTCGCCATTTAATCAGCTTCTAAAGATCGATGTTAATTAATATATCAAATTTAAAATTACCCAAGAATGCGTGAAATATCGAAGAAAAATAATTCTACGTCTTAATTCGCATACGATTTCTCACTTGCCATTTTAAAAATCACAGAAAGTCTTCGAATTACTATTTCTCCGTAACGAAAAATCGCCAAGTGTAAAGGGTTAACTTCCCGACGCCATCTTGAGATCTTCGAGGAACCGTAATGGCGGCGGGCGAAAGAGGTTAGCTCCGGCTCGCAGCGAAGGAACCGTGCTTTTATACTCGCTAACATAATCCGTACACGAAATTTCATAAAAATCCCCGATACCCGTAGCACCTCCATAAAGAAAGGAATGGCTATGAAAGATTTACGTGGGGTAAGGAAGATCGTAAAGAGGACGGGGCGCTGTCGCCCTCGAAGCGGTATTAATTCCAGCGTACGGCTACTCGTGTCGGCAACAGCCCGCGTTACGAATCGCCACGGCGGAAGTACGAAAGCTTGCCAGTTTCTAGGAGACTCATTAACGAGCCGAAAGCCAAGGGGAAGTTTAATCGGTGGGAAGGGAAGTATGAAAAATCGTCGGACTGGCTCGCGGAGGTGTCCCAATTCCGCGATGCAGCGGCGGAAGAATATTTGATAAAGTTCGCCGGGCGAATGCGAGCTTCTTTATGAGCGGGAAAGTTTACGACGTTAGAGGCGGCCGCGTGGAATAGAAGATGCATCGCGGGTCCCACATAATACAGAAAATGTTGAAGTTTTAAAGTATCCCCGCCGCGGAGCTTCCGGCGAGCATAAATTCGAGGCCTTTGAGCGGCCGCCATTTTTTCCCTGCACCGCGGCGCGGAGAAAATTCTTAATTAATTTAATCGCCACAAGGAAGAAAGGTACGTGTTACGCTTTATACGTGTATTCAGCATGTGTATATACGTGTGTATACGCGCGGGGGAATTCTTCCTCCGTGGTGGCTCTCTTCCGACGCGTCAGAATTTTTCTTCCTTACCTTCGTGCCACCATTGTCCGTGGTATATTTCAGAGGCGACATTGTCCAATTTTTTCTTCTTTCCTCCGCATCGTATGCTATTGCCCGGATGAATGAAGTTTGCAGTTTTCATGGTTGCACGAGCTGGCGCACCCGAGCTGGGCTTGGAGTGCGGGGAACGCAGACGGTGTTTCCAGAGAGGCTGAAAACCAGAGAGTTGCGTAGTTAGGGAGCACAGACTTGATTATATTTACCATTTCGGCTACATTTTTCGTCCTCTCCACGGACTCTCGTTGCTTTTCAGACGAATCTCTCCGCGATGTGCCTCTGCACTCGGCTAATAGATCCTCGCTGCTTAATTCCATTATTCGGAGAATCAAAGAGTCGTTTGGATTCCACCGACGTGTCCCAAAATTCCCTTTAATGCTCCACGAGATTACAGCTTTTTACGTTGCTCCGTGTGGCAGTGCCTCGGCGAGGTCGAGGGGTGTCTCGTAACGAGACCGGGCACTTAAAGCACGGGAAATTGCATCGTGGAAGGAATTCATTTTGTCGGAAAAATCGATTCGGTTACGTAAATTAAATCACCCGCTATCGAGCATGATTTAATTGCGTTCCGCGGAACTATTCTTTTCCTCTTGCTCGATCGAAAGTCTATTTTCCGCGTGATTAGACTGGCCGACGTAATTGAAATCGAGGGGCCCGGGTACAGATATTTCCGTGGCTAATTACGTTTCCCGGCTTCTATCACTCGGAAAACTCCGCCTCTGTTCCTCGCTTACCATCTATTCACGCCGGATTCGAATTTCAGAGCGCGTTCTCGATGCATCCGCAAAGCGCCAAGGAAAATTTGAACTCGGACACCACCGTGATTCTCAGTGGGCCTGGAAACGTGAAACATCGGAAGGAGAAATACCTGACGGCGATCCAGTGGCAGGTGAGATTCTGTTTCTACATTTCCTTGTCGAGTATCGTCGAAGATGCACACCTTTGACGTATTCCTGGAACAAATAAGAAAGATCGGTTATTAAGAGCGAGATGTTTCATCGTTGAATTGTATCGACAGGTCGGCTGCGATGGGCACTTATGGAAGCACCAGACGGATTTGGTGAAACACCTGCGAGAACAGGCAAAGGACGGCACTCTAGCGGAAGTGATGCAGCTTCCGGTGCTGTTATGGCGCGTGAAGACGGAATCGAGCTTATTACTGAGAAACAGGAGGGAGGCTGGCTCTGGGGACTACAATACGGATGACTACGATGGTTACGATGATGATTACGAGGACGAATTCGAAGATGGCGAGGAGGATGGCGAGGATGGCGATGACTCGCTGGTACAGCCAACTTTCATCCCGGATACGAATTCTCCTAGAGGAAACGTCGCGGAACATCCGCACAGGCATCACCACGGTGAAGAACCTATCGATTGGAACGTGAGTATTTTGTTTATGCGATATCGAATGATCGAAGGATTTTTACGTTTTCGAAAGGTGTTAATGGAATTTTTGTATTTATCGCGTTTTAGACCGAAGAGATCAGCGACATTATCCCAGTGGTGAATCAGTCGAACGTGGTTGAAAGTGCAGTGAACAGAACGATTATGAACACCACGTCAACTGTGAGTATCAGATTAAAGCTAGTCGAATCGTGTGATAAATCGTCACCGATTCTCTCTTTTCTCGAATCAGAAAAGATAATTTAAGAGGAAACAGCAAAAGAAACATCGCTATATAACTGGCTTTCGTTAAGAATTCTTATGTCTTTGTCCTTCATTCGCCATGCCAATCGCTTAAGGGAATCGTTGCGCTTAAAATACTTTAGTCTAGCTGTGGGTACTGCGTGTTCAATGCCGACTTACGCCATTCTCTATGCCATTTAGGCGATATCGATCGATGTATAGAAAGCGCTGTAATGCGAAGTATCTCTGTTGAAACAGAAACGAAAGCCTGAGAGGGAGAGAAAGAGAGAGAGAAAGAGCAAAGCACATAATATTTTTTTCTCTCTTTATACCTTTTTGTTTTATACATCTTCTTCGCTCCCTCCATAATGTAACTAACCAAGTTTTTCGTGCCGTACATCGCATCTACTAACGATTTCGCAGACAACAACCACTGAACTTACATCACCACCATCAACAACTCCAACAACCATCACCACGATGACTACTCCATCTACTTCGACAACAACTACAACAACAACAACAACAACTCAACAACCACCCTCGTCAACGGCTACTAGTACTACTACTACAAGCACAACAACGAGCACAACAATAGCAGATTTAACAACAGCAAGCATCATGCCGACCATCATAGTCCCATCGACTGAAACACCGGAGAAACCGGAGACCACCGAAGAGACAATGAAGAACACTAGATACATGGAGAACGAATCTCTAAACGTCTCATCTGTCACTATACCAGAACTCACCACCATCCCTCCTACGGTAATCGTTCCTCATTCTAGCACTACCAACACCGTCACCACCACCGGATCCACCCCAACCACCGTTGTTGTTGAAAGGGCGGAAACGGATGTCACCGTTGGTACCGTGAATGTCACCACGGAAGAGGTAATGCTTCGATGCTTCAAGCTTCGTTTGTACGATAGTTTATGCTACGCATAGAGTCGATTCGTGTTATTCTGTCGCTTTAGTATGCCAAACGATAGGTCGTTGTATCACAGCCCACCTAAAGCCATTTTCCTGTAAACGATGCGCGACGAGGATCGTGTGCGTTTCCTTTGCTCATTGTCGTCTGCAATAGAACTGCGTGGACGCTTGCGAGAAAGTTAAGCGCTGCTTAGAGGTGTAATTTAATACAGCGTCATGCACAGGCGTGTCACTTTGGAGTAGGCTGCAACGGGTAATAATTCATACGAGCCGTAAAGCAAGCATGCGAATACCGCAGTGCGAAGGAAGCATTGTCCGTGAGAAACTGGCCAAAGTAATCGTTTCCTCTATCCTTTTACACCGCCAAATTACGTTCAAAGAGACAGTTCGCACGATCCTCTCTCGCTATGTCATCTGATTATCATAATCGAATTTATTCTTATTTACGATGCCTCGATTCATCGAGACCCTACGACTGATTTAGTTTTCAACGTTAATATGTCTTCTTTCTGTCTTCAGCCGACGGAACAGTCGCCAGTGTCTTCGACAAAACTACCTACTACTCTCTTACCCGTCACAATACCTGCAAACACAACGACCACATCCACAACTACCGCATTCGTCACTAATATCACCACGACACCCACAACAACGACCACACAGATAAGAACAACCCCAATCACTATACCTACTACCACTACCACCACCACCACTACTACTACTTCCACCATGGCTCCGATACCCACAACTACAACAACCACCACAACTACTACCACTCCAGCACCGACTAGCGGTGTCACCGAACCATCTTGGAGCGTCACGGAAACCATAGAGTACGGTGCGGGGAATAATTTGTCCCCCAGACAAGATAAGAGATTGAAGAAGATACCAGTCACGGCTGGAAAACCATTGAGCTACGTTATACCTGCTAATACGTTCAGCGATTCCGAGGATGGAGATACTAGGGACCTAAAACTCAGTTTGTACCTGCAAGGTGCACCACTGAAAACCAGTCACTGGCTGCAATTCAATCAGAATACTCAAGAAGTTTATGGATTGTAAGAATTACATTTTAAATAGTAGTTGCACGGTGTTTTATTATTGATGAACTAATTTTCACCAACGATAAAATATCCTATGTTTATATAAAGTATTCAATTTATAACGAGTTGTTATTGTACAGGCCACTGGAGAACGATATTTCAACTTGGACTTACGAATTAGTAGCTGCTGATAGTGAAGGATTAAACGTGACGGATCGACTTGATATTCACGTTCAGCAGCACAAGCTCAGCCGTAGCGTAAACCACGAATTCAGTATTTATTTAAAGATCGACAAACGTTCTGAATTTCCTACAGACGTGGACTGGGAACTAAAGGTATTCATTTGTTACGATAAAGTTTATGTCCTTTTATAACTAATTCTTATTGATTTGTAGGTAATTCGAAGCTTAGCCGAATTGTATGGAGACAGCGATACCAGACACATCACTGTCAGGTCGATTGATATTGATCGTGATCAAGCGTTATTTACTTGGACCAACGATAGTGTGCCAAGAAGCAGCGAATGTCCCAAAGAATATATTAATGATCTGTTAAATGTAAGCATGATTTTAATATTTCATGAATATTTTAAATGTCTTTTAAAGAATCTAATTCAATGTCTGTGATTTAGGTTTTGATTGATAGAAACGGTGACCCCAGTTCTGCGTTAAGGGAAGTTCTCCTGCCTGAAATTAGAGTGAAACGAGTAGTCTGTCAAGGTATTGGACAATGCGAAGACATGACTCGCCTAGAAACACCGAAAGTTTCTACGCAAGAGCCTAAATCAAATTTCCCACCATTACCGAGAAATCAAGTGGATCTTGTCAATGCTACTGTTGGTCAGCTACTTGTATTTAAAGTACCAGAGGTACGTTGTATCATTACGGTGGAAATGTGCATAATACATATTTGAATATAACTATAACTTATAGCATAAATTCATTTTAGGATACTTTCTATGATGCACAAGATGGTTCTGCAAGAAACATGCAAATGTCTCTGCTAACTATTGAACGTAAGCCTATTCCACCACATGAGTGGTTGCAATTTGACAGTAAGAATCAAGAATTTTATGGAGTACCAATGCGTAGCGACGTTGGTCGCAAAGAATACCAATTAGTAGTTACTGATAAAGAAGGTACTATGTCAAAATAATTATTTCCACTCTCTAGACACCAAACATTTTCTGTAAAATTCTTTTCTTATTACAGGCGCAAGCGCCACTGACGGCCTAGTGGTTGTAGTGCACTCTGCTCCCTTCATGCACCATACAGTGGAGTTCTCTATGACCTTGGACATCCCATATGAATCGTTTGCACACTCTGCACTTCAAAAGCGTAATTTCATTGAAAAACTCCGCGATCTGTATCAAGATAAAGATACTAGTGCAATCTCATTGCATAGTATATCGAATGGTAGTACAGTAATTACGTGGCACAACAGAACCCTGCCTACCTCGTATTGTGCGCACGAAGAAGTCAATAGATTGCGATCAGTGCTCGTTAAGAGTGACAACGATCGTCGATCCGTCACGGATGAGGTCCTAGAGATCATGGGCCTGAAATTCCCCGTGAAACAAATCACTGTGATCCCCATGGGCATCTGTCTTGGTGAATTAACAGACGTTCATTCTCCCGACAATCACGTACCACCAGTGGATGATTCCACTTCGTTTGGAGCGTTCCACGATGACTATCTTATGACATTTGTCGTACCAGCTATAATAATCACCGCAATGCTCATCTTAGCAGGTTTCATTGCTTGTATGGTATACAAACGGAGGCGTAGTGGAAAAATGAGTGTCAGCGAACAAGATGACGAAAGACAAAGTTTCCGTAGCAAGGGAATACCAGTCATTTTCCAGGATGAGCTAGACGAGAAGCCAGATCCAGGTATATATTTCAAGCATTTTATTCCAATGAAATATAACCATCTGTTTTCGACGATATTAGATACATTACATTATTTTATTTTGTAGGTAACAAGTCTCCCGTTATTCTAAAGGAAGAGAAACCACCGCTACCACCTCCCGAGTATCAAAAAGCTGAAGACGGTGCAGATGTACCAATGTTGCCAAAGGAGAATTCCGAGGAACCGTATCAACCGCCACCACCGTTCGCCACGAACCGTGAAACTAATCGTCAGAATCGTCCGAAACCCACCCCCACGTACAGGAAACCACCCCCCTACGTACCCCCCTAACAAAATACAGTTCACTCGCCCACGCGCAAATATATGCTAGCGATGCTCGGAGACTCCCCAATACACGCGCAAAACCAAACAAACTATCAGAAGAAATCTCAGCTTGCCGGTAAAATCGACAACTGTGCATCTCTGAACGTATACAGCAATCTTAAGTAAAAAAAAAAACAAAGCTTTCGTTCGTTCCGACATTCGATCAATATATACATATATATCTATATATATATATTTATATATATATCGGTATCACGAAACGAGAGGAGACGAAAGATCTGTTCGCAAGAACTCAAGCCAAAAGTCACGCCCACTTTTTCTTACTTTGTAATATTATATATGTACATGTATACTCATTCGTCGCTATTTATCCGCGGTATATAACGTATTTAAAGGAAGAGAAAAACGAAGAAACTCGACCTCGGGTTTCTGCCGTTTTTCTTCCTCTTTTTATTTTTATTTTAACAAACGAATGTACTTCTGTCATCGACCGTCTTGTAATTTCACGGGAAACTTTTTCTAGGGAGTGTATGGGATTACAAATCACGCGTTGCCTTTCGTAACGAATTCAAACTGTAGAAAGAGAGAAAGAGAGAGAGAGAAAGAGAGAGAGATAGAGGAGAATGATTCACTACTCCGACCGGGTAAGCGGATATTTTAGGTTTTAGGTTTACGAGACTTGTAGAACCAGCCAGTCGTTTAGGGCGAGATGTATTTTACTCGATAATATGGGGTAGCAAAGAGAGTCGGTGTGTATATGCAGCAACGGTACTCGTTAAATATTTCAGTAATATCAGTGCCATTTTTTAAGCAATAAGGGTATCCTGCTGTGAACGAAGAAAACAAGTACTATAATGGTTCTACGACTTAATGCAATTTACTGTTAAAAAAAAAAAAGAAAAAAAAGAAGAAAAACAAACGGTCTCCACGTATCAAAGACTATTGACTTAACGAATCTTACAACGTACCTACAACGCGTAACGCTGCCAGATGAAAAAAAAAAAAAGATGATAATTCGTCGTCGGACGAGACAGTTTTATCGTCAGTTACTCAAGCCTCTTTTTTTTATACTGTCCATAAGTCTTGATAGAGGAAAGAATATCGAAAAGGAACGAAAAGAATTTCGTATATTCTGCGATTTTATTGAACTGGCCCATCCGACGATCGATTATGTCAGACTTAAATGATTAACTTAGATGAGAAGTGAGAATTTTTTTAACAAAAAAAAAAAAAAAAAAAAAA